GGTTTCTGATGGTTTCCTTTGCTGTTGCAAACGGTCCTATGTATTTGACTTTTTCCTTTAGGATATTTATAAAAGGCACTGGGTGTAGTTTCCTTATATCCCCGCCAAATCGTACTTTTACGTCTTCTGTGCTATGTACGATAACTTCCTTTCTTTCTATTCCTCTTATCTCCATCTCTGCAATTTGTTTAAATCTCCTTTCCGTTTCTTTCCGGTCTTCTTGTAGCGCATTTTCAAATTTTATTTCTATCTGTTCTAATTCCCTTTCTTGCATACTCTGAATATCCTTCATTTTAGTTTCCATTTCTTCTCTCTGCATCTCTAGTTTCCTCTCTGTTTCACTAACTTTTTCTAAACAGACTTTTACTTCATTTTCATATTTGTCCAAACGCTTTTCCATTTTTCTATCATTTTCTTCTAATTTCTGTTCTATTGCTTGTCTTGTTTTCCGTTGGTTTTCTTCGATTTTTAGTGATGTTTCTTTTTGGTTTTCTTGTATTTGTTGTGTCTGTAATTGCATCATTGCTAATAATTTTTCTAACATCCCTGTTTCTTTTCTTTCCTCTATTATTGTAACATTTCCTTCATTATCCGATCCTTCTTCAAACATTGTTTCCTCTTCTCTGTTATCCTCCTTCCTTTCTTGCATTTTGCTTTGACTCCTTGTGGTCGACATGTTGTTTTTGTCCCCGCCAAATATAAAATTCTACTGGTCTGTTGCAACAAACGGGACTTTTCTTGTTCAAATGTAATAACTCTTGAGTACGAGTATCAAATTTCAATATCCCACAAATAAATCAAATGGTAAAATATCAAATGTCAAAATCAATCAAATAAATCAAGTATGGTAAAATTATCAAATGTAAATATCACACAAATAAATCAATTATGGTAACCTCTAAATTGTCAATATCAAGAATAAATTAATTATGGTAAATTGTATCTTAAAAAAAATATAAATCTTCAGTGTCCTCAAATTTTACATAATATTTCACTTTATCCACGGCATATAAACTTTCAAATATCTGCTCGTCTACTCCTATCCTTTCAAATTTGCCAACTAGAAATATTTTTCAAAGCTTTACACGTTGGGGGCCATTTTGTTATGCTATTTAAATTGTATTCTATTGCTTATTTAGAAAAGATCCTGTCTATATTTATTAAATGATCTAATCTCCAATTAATCACAATAAATCAGCATTAATTAATTACAATCTCAGGCTATTTAACTTGTACTATTTACCTTTGATCGTGGATTCAAAATATTTTCCAATTGGCTTCCTAATTGGGATAGGTAATATGACCTGAATAAAATACACAGAATTTCAACTGAAGTATATGTGAGATGTCCTTTATTTTATTGAAATTTTATATAACAATCAATCCGGTAATATTTGCAATACAATACTTTAAATATATGAGAAGTTGTTTTCTATCATGGACCCAAATGTTATTTTACATTGATTTTTAACATGTGTTATAACTAAGCTCTCTTTATAATTTTTTTTTTTAAATGATCGCAAAATTACCTGTCTCTATTATTTATTCAATTTATTTAATTTATAAATGAAAACCACACTCCTGCTCTAATGAAAATTGACTGACCTTTCGTTATCTGCCGTTGCAATTCTATGGCCACGCCATAAAAAAAAACCTTTCTCTGCTTCTGCTCCTATTTTGGTCCAGAAGACGTACACCTTTCTCCTATCTGTCCTTGTATCTGCAACCCAACAACTCGTGTAATTCTATGCAGCCTCCTTTTGAACCAATCTCCGCGCCTGTTTATAACTTCAAATGTTTCCGGCTTCGTCTGATATTAATATTCTTATACCCTTTGGTTTTTCTATCTCTCTGTACCCCGTTCCTCACACTGATCAGCTTTTACACAGCAAATAAACACACCCGGTAAATTACGTCTTCGGGACTTCAAACAAACACAAACCACAAAGCTCCTTCCTTCTTGGGCGACGAAAACTGACTAACTCCTTTCCTCTCTCCTATCTCATAGCTAAAACCACTCCCTCCTTGCATTCAAAAATTGACCAATAAAAATCTTCTACCTCTGTCACGTATATCGTTACCAACCAACTCTCTCTATAAAACGTCATTCGGGTAATTCCAGAAAACAACATTCTTTAATTATTCTAGCTAAATCTATCTGCTTTACAAATATTTCTTACTAATAGCTACAAACGATACCTGTTTCTCAATTCAATGTCTTTTGTTAATAAACTTTTACCGATATAATCTTTCGGGGGAAAAACCACCGCACATCCCTTTCTATTGTTTAAACACTTTCTATATACACTTTTATTACGGGTAAATCCATTCCACAATAACCGACTTATTTAAATTTCTTATCGATAATATTTGAAAGTCTTGTCTCTGAGGCCTAATGAACAATTCTTTGAACAACTTAAAATACATATTTTGTCTTATACAGGATGTTTGAAAATTTATATGCCCGTGTCATTATGAAATATCAATAATTTTAATTTTTATTTAAGTAATAAAATTTGTATATCGGTTTTTTATTGCTAACAGACATTCAAAAGTACAACAATATATAGTATATATATATAGTATATATATATATATATAGTATATATATATATATATATATATATATATATATATATAGTATATATATATATATATATATATATATATATATATATATATATATATATATATATATATATAACACTGTTTTTGATGGGTTGGAGTCAATAAAAGGGGTTATTTGTTGACTATTTTTTACTCGAGCTTTCAATTGTGATTACAATTTTTATCAAGAGCTTCTAAAAAATACAAAATGTCTTACAAAGTTGAACTAGAAATAAAAAATTTTTTGTTAACTCACCAAATAAAATTAGTTTTTTATATAAAACTACTGCTTACATAATAAATACAAAAAATATTAATAAAAAAATGGCTTATTCTAACAAATGTTTCTCTGAAAAATTTAGATGAATTTTCTTAAGAAAAAAAAAATTGAAATTATAAACAAATATAGAATAGCTACAACCAGCCTAAAACGTCATAAATACTAACTTAAAAATTTTTATTTTTGACATATTGTCAAAAATAAAATTTTGTTTAAAAAATTCTTCTTTGTTTAGTAACAAAAAAGAAGAAAATTTATTCACCATTGATAGATGCCCGGAAAAATGTAACAAATACATGGAAAATTCAAAATGTGATATTTTACTGACTGCATAAATTAAATAGAAATTATATAATTATAAATTTTGCTTAAATTTTGAATTTCTGACCTTTTGTTTAAATTATTATCACTTTTGCTAATACAAACCATTTCCAAAAAAGTTCTTTTAAATTTATTACTTTCATTACATAAAATTTTAATATTATCAAAATCCATAATATGGTCTTTGTCTATTACATGCTCTGCCAAAGCACAAGATGGTTTCTTAATTCTACAATCACTCTTGTGAGAAATAATGCGATTAGAGAGATTTCTTCCAGTCTCACCAATATACTCAGCTTCACACTGAGTACAAACAATGCTGTAAACTACATTTGTTTGATCTAATTTGTCTATAGGATATTTAGTTTTGGAATATAAAGATGAAATAGTTTTGATGTTCTTTGTTGCTTTAAATATCCTATAGACAAATTAGATCAAACAAATGTAGTTTACAGCATTGTTTGTACTCAGTGTGAAGCTGAGTATATTGGTGAGACTGGAAGAAATCTCTCTAATCGCATTATTTCTCACAAGAGTGATTGTAGAATTAAGAAACCATCTTGTGCTTTGGCAGAGCATGTAATAGACAAAGACCATATTATGGATTTTGATAATATTAAAATTTTATGTAATGAAAGTAATAAATTTAAAAGAACTTTTTTGGAAATGGTTTGTATTAGCAAAAGTGATAATAATTTAAACAAAAGATCAGAAATTCAAAATTTAAGCAAAATTTATAATTATATAATTTCTATTTAATTTATGCAGTCAGTAAAATATCACATTTTGAATTTTCCATGTATTTGTTACATTTTTCCGGGCATCTATCAATGGTGAATAAATTTTCTTCTTTTTTGTTACTAAACAAAGAAGAATTTTTTAAACAAAATTTTATTTTTGACAATATGTCAAAAATAAAAATTTTTAAGTTAGTATTTATGACGTTTTAGGCTGGTTGTAGCTATTCTATATTTGTTTATAATTTCAATTTTTTTTTTCTTAAGAAAATTCATCTAAATTTTTCAGAGAAACATTTGTTAGAATAAGCCATTTTTTTATTAATATTTTTTGTATTTATTATGTAAGCAGTAGTTTTATATAAAAAACTAATTTTATTTGGTGAGTTAACAAAAAATTTTTTATTTCTAGTTCAACTTTGTAAGACATTTTGTATTTTTTAGAAGCTCTTGATAAAAATTGTAATCACAATTGAAAGCTCGAGTAAAAAATAGTCAACAAATAGCCCCTTTTATTGACTCCAACCCATCAAAAACAGTGTTATATTTTTTCCAAACGAGTCACAAGTACTTCTTTTTTATATATATATATATATATATATATATATATATATATGTAAAAAAAACACAGAAGTTAAAACACTTCACAAATGTGTATTTAGGTATAAAACAAACTAAATACACATTTGTGAAGTGTTTTAACTTCTGTGTTTTTTTAAACGATGGTATACAGCCAATTACGGGGTTTTTCCCATTAATTTTATATATATATATATATATATATATATATATATATATATATATATATGTATTATATTTATAGAAGATAAATATAAAAGATATTTTAGGTCGTAGTGTAAAAGGGTCTACAAAGCCAAATGACTCATTCGAAATCTATATTCTACTTATTCACTAACTAACAAGAGTTCTTGGTTCTTCAGTTATAGGGCATGAGTAATACGTTTTATATTCCCATGATAAACTGGTTATGTTTTTCATAGCGAAACTAGATCTATTTATTTTACATTTAGTAAGAAAATCCGGATTATTTGTAGGTCCCTCTGGAGATATGGAAATAAAAACGAAAAATGTACCACAATGGACTGCTGAAAAATCAAATCATGTTTGCACATGTCTACCTAATGACGGCCCTGATATAAATTACGTTTGCAGCAGAGTAAACAAAAAATCTGACAATTTAAGTTATTCGCAGGCTTCTATATGCCAGGTAAAAAATAATAATTATTCTTAAGCTCTTAATTTTTTTAAGAACTAAACTAAACTATATGTTGGTAAATCAAGGTGTGCGCCTCTCAAAATATGGATAAGTTAGGGTACGTGGTGTCCTAAAGTATCTACTCTCTAGTGACAGTTCCCATTAATGGAAATTTTAATAGTCGACAGGGTAGTTTCTTAAGAAGTGATCCTGGTTTGTACATAAAAATGAATGTGGGTGGGGATAAACTGTGGTTGTTTGGAAGTATCTTGGTAAAGTCTTAGTGAGTCTGATGCTGGTGACATTTAAAGATATTTAAGTGCCAAATATTAAAACAATTTTTTAGCCTTAAAAATAAACAGATTATTTTTTAAATAAATAAACTGATAATGGAATGATACAATTCCGAAAAGATCTTCTTTTATTTTTAAGCTTTTAATAAGCGCTTTTTTTATACCTTAATACACACAAACACCACGTGCTTTGTTTTAAATACCGATAAAACTATATTAACATAAAATATTCTAAGCTAAAATGTTCCCGCAGAATGAATAGCCTTTGACCAGGTGAGGAGTATTTCAGAGACTACCTTATTGTCTCTTTCTCTGTTGCGTCACAACCCTTCGTGGGTTTTAGCCGACTCAACATTTTGCCTTCTCCATTTCTCTTTATCTCGAGAAATCTTCATATAATTCTCCACGTCCGTAGCTGAAATATCTTTTGCTGTACTTTCTCGGCACCGGAGTTGAGGTCGTCCATGTGGTCTTTTTGAACTTGGGACTTACACCAGTTTACTATTCTTTCGTTAGAATGTCTTCTAAGGTGTTCTGCTTACTGGTTCTAAGGTGTTCTGCTTACTGGAGTCTTTTGGACATTTCTTTATGTATGCGTCTGAATATAGAAATTGGATATGTATATAATCTGGTGTTTCTTATTGGATCGATAACATCTGAAAATCCCAACAGTAAGATTGGTCCTTCTCGATGGAATACTTTCGTCGGTTTTTCGATTCTTACACTTCTGATTATATGTTCCAGAGAATGTAGGTACCTTACGGGTTAAAAAAGTTAGGATAGGGTTTTGCAATCTTAAAAGTCTAACCGATAGGATATTGTCGATTGTCTATGTGCTTTAAATAAAAAAAGTTACATACTTAGACCAGAAAAAATTACGTAATTATACGAGAGGAAGTGAAAATGATAAAGGGAGAAATAACTGTGGAGATATAAATATAATAAAACTAGAACTAAAAATACGAAGTATGATGGATAAAAGCAATATAAGAAATGGAGCTAGTATAATTGTACAAAGAAACATTTAATAGAGCGTGATAGAATTTTAAGAACAAGAAATAAAATAATATCAGTAAAGCTTGTTATGTAGTGTAGAACTTAAAATGATGCCGATAATGATACTTTTAAACAAGCTCTAATCCCACATATTCCAATTGTTAAAACATTTTTTAAAAGGAAAACATCACAAAAATAGTAGCTAAAATTATCCTAAAAAAAACAAATTATTGTATAACATAAAAAAAAAGATATACATGAATAAGCATTAGTTGCAAAATTAAGAAGCCAATTGAAACCTAAATACCCAAGGACTACTAATAATCAAATAGTTTGTAGTAAACGGCGTGAAAAAAATTGAAGTCTGAAGAAAATAAAGTAGGTGGAAAAATGGGTTAAAGCATACACAGTTATAACTTCTATACAATTTGTATAAATATACCTAGTATTATTAGAGAAAAACACCTCAGAAAAAAACTTTGGGAGTAAGGAAACCTAGTGGTGAAAAAACCAAGAGTAGGAGTAGCATAAGCTAAAGAAGCTTATAAAATCTATACAATAAACGTGATCAGAGAGAATGAAGAGAAAATATAGAAAATTTGTCAAAACGAGGTAGAAAAAATTCTTTGACATATTGTTAAATGAATAATTAGACTAAAAATAGGCAAAAAGAGAGTAACAGCAACGGTTACCAAAATGGTAAAAAAGGAAGTTACTCAAACAGTATAAAAATAAGAAAAGTTTTTGTGAATATATGATATTCGTAGAGAAGTGTTGGATAGCGTGAGGACAGACACAGATAAATAGTTCAAGTTGATTTAATTTAATTTCGCAAGTAAAATAAATGCCAGATGAAGGAAAAACAGTATATTAGTAAATTGTGTAATACCAAAAATGTTTAATAATGTGTAAACTAGACGGCCATACTCAGTCGAACATAAATTTATAATAAAATACGTGAGGAAACCTAGGTATTTTAAAATAAGTTTGGATTTATACTTTTTAAGTCAGATGATTTGTATTTTTAGTGGAAATACTGAAAGCAATTCGGAGTAAAAATTCTACCATGGAGATAGGATCTTAATAGGTTTAAAGCTTAGTAGAAAAAAATTATGATGTTGATTTAAACGTGGCTGACTATTAAAAAGATCATAACTTTTTAAACGGTAAAAATATTGTAAACAATATTATGAGTATCTAGTATTGAAATTGCGGAGTAATGGTAAAAGTAGGTAAAGATGAATACAACCAAGTTAGAGCAAAATAAATAGTTTTGTGACAGAAAGATTTTGAAGAATCTAAAATTCTATAAAATGACCATGTTACGATCGTTAATTTATGAACAATGAATGTTCAGTAGCTATACAATAAAAGAAGAACAACGATTGCACGTTTTGAAAATGCTTTGGAAAGCTTGGATAAATACGTAAAATGACAACAATAATGACAAAATAACGAAACAAAATATTACGGAAAGTCTACATAGGGCACCAATTGATACCAAAATGATAAAGCATAGGATAATATTGTTAAGATACATCTAGCGCTGGAATATTAAATTAACCAATTCAAAGAATTTCATGATTAAATGCAATGAATTGTGTTACTGCAAGAAATAAGGAAGGACTATCAATGAAGACACGGTATGAGAGACTAGCTGAGAGAAAAAATATATAAAGAGCAGTAGTATTGGCAAGGCAAATGACCTATTTGCTTTTTTCGCGGATTTGATCTCGAATGACAACATCGTTAAAAAAAAATCATCGTATAATTCGATTGCATCTAGAAATGCATTAGTATAATTTCGATTATTCGTATGTACGGAAGAAGGTTTCCTGCTGTTTTTATTTGAAATTTAATTTAACATTTTTTTGCACTTTTTAATTTTTTTTTTAATCGTCCTAATGATATTTTCGATAAATTTGTCTTGGGTTGCTTTTAACCTCTCTATTTCTCATTTATCGATAACCAGTTAATTCTTCCTTCGTTGCCTGTATAATATCGATATATCTTCTATTACATTAAATTTTGCTTCGAACGTAAGCTTGCATCGTATATACTTCTTCTTCTTCTTCTTCGTCTAGCCATTCACGTCCACATCTGAACATAAGCCTCTTCAAGTCTTCCTTTCCATTGTTTTTTATTGTACGCTACTTGTAGCCAATTTTTCCCGGCAGTCCTTTTCAGATCATCTGTCCATCTCATAGGAGGTCTGCCTCTGGGTCTTTTGTGTTGGTATGGTCTCCAGGTTAAAATTGATCTGTGCCATTTGTTTAGATCGCTCCTAGCTACATGTCCAGCGTATTCCCATTTCAGCTTTAATGCTTTTTGCACCACATCGGTGATTTTGGTTTTCTGTCTTATCCATGTGTTTGTTTTCTTGTCCTTAAGTGATATACCTAGCATTGCTCTTTCCATCGCGTGTTGAGTGACTCTAAGTATATTCATATTCTTTTTTGTGATTGTCCATGTTTGTGCCGCATAAGTTAATATCGGGATAATGCATGCATCAAAAACTTTAGATCTAAGATGTAATTGAATTTGTTGATTTCTGAGTATATAGTTCAGTTTACCGAATGCTGCCCAAGCTAACTTTCTTCTTCTTTTTATTTCTTCAGTCTGAATTTCCCTATTTAGGATTATTTTTTGTCCCAAGTATATATATTCTTCAACTTTTTCTATAACTTTATCGTTTATTATTGTCACGGTGTCTTCGGAGTGCATGACTTTTGTTTTGTTTAAATTCATTTTCAGTCCTATTTTAGAAGATTCGGTATGAAGTTCTACAAGCATGGTTTGCATTTCTTGTAGGTCAGTAGCTATCAGGATTATGTCATCTGCAAATCGTAGATTACTGAGGTAGCGGCCATTGATGTTTATTCCCTTATATTTCCAATTTAGGTTTTTAAAAACGTCCTCCAAAACTAAGGTGAACAGTTTGGGTGATAAAATATCTCCCTGTTTGACTCCCCTGTTTAGTGGTACAGGGTTCGTGTGTTCATTTTCATTTAGGTAGTATGTAGCTGTAGCTTGGTTCATAGTTTCTTTTATTAAGTTAATATATCTGCTGTCTATTCTACAATTTTGCATTGCGTTTATTACGGCCGTGTGTTCTATGGTATCGAAAGCTTTTTCATAGTCTACAAATGCAAGGAAAACTGGAAACTTGTATTCGTTACATTTTTCTATTAATATTTTTGTGGTTAACAGGTGATCGGAAGTTGAATAGCCTTTTCTAAATATCGTATATACATATACAAGATATATATCTTCCTCTATATCGGATGATGTTGCTTCTTATAGCGTATATTAAATATTCATACTTTATAAATAAACTCGATTTTTTCACCAAAAAGAAAAATATAGTCATATGTAGTTAGCAAACACAATTAATATAAATAGGTTTATTTAAAGTCAACTTAAAATTGTAATGGCTGTTGAACAGTACCATATTTAAAAGAAAAAAGAATACTAACATATATGATCACATATTAATATGTTTCTGTCCATTCACTTATGCGATCGGTCAAGGATTTGGATTGACCAACCTTAATTTTTCCGATGATTTAAGAATCTCTTAGCGGATATTGCGTGGAAATTGTTTCTCCCATCACCGACACAGCGCCTATTTAATGATGATAATTGAAAACAGCAACATTTAGTGTTTCGGAGATGAAAACTATACCAGTAGTTAAGAGCTCTGTTGTTACGCTTCCACTGTTGCCTGCCTGGTTGATAAAGATCTGCTCTCCCTTTTCTTTACTTCGATGGTTACCCATGTTGCGGAGGGCAGTCGTGGATTATAGGCTTTTCCCTTGCCCATTTGTCTGCTACTGTGAATCAGAAGACCCCCTTCTTCAATAATAGGATCACCATGTGATGTAGGGTGCTGGTATGGAATGCCGGTGTGAAATGATGGCATTCCTCCTTTTAACATTTCTTGTAGCCACATTTAACAAAATTTTGCATTTTTTAATTTTTGCACAATTTTAATAATTATAATCCTCTTTAACAAATGGTATCAAATTTAGATAAAATTACGTATTTATGAAACTTGTTCACGAGCGGCGCAAGATTTACATTGCAGTGTTAAATTATGTAAACCACCCACTATGAAAAACTGAGTGCGTATAGACACATTATTTTTAATAAGGAGTTATTTTAAATTTCTTGGTCTTAATTCAACAGAGAGACAATAAACGATAATGGGACTTCTAGTCGTCAATGTGGTTTACAGTTATACAATAAATATAAAGAATTAGATAAGATCGAAGATTTACTACTGCAATACAAATTACATGCCAACACTGGCAGGATATCTAGCCAGGGAAAATGAAAGCTACCCTACAGAACGTACTTTTTTGGCACAATTTAACAACATATTATGAAAATAGTTGTGACAAACTGGCACCAAGTTGCAAAGAACGTTACCAATAGGATGAAAAGAATAGGACTTAATGGCTTTGGTTGAGCTTTTGGTTTAGGCATTGATAATGGTTGTATTATAATTATTTTTTTTTTGGTAACAAGGGTAGTGTAATTAATTATTGACGTGCTCAATATTACCGTTTCGATTTTTAGTAAACTTTAGGTCTTAGGGAGTTTAGATATTTCTATTTATAAGCCATACGTAGTATACAACACATTTAACTCCTTTTAGAAACCTCAATATAGAACAAATAAGAGCACAAATAAAAAAGAGAAAAGACCACAAAGTGTTCAACCAGTTACTTGTACTTCAACTTGTGATTCAACTTTTGAAGGAAAGGAGAAAAATTTAAAGTTGGTGCTAACTCACCTCCATGATGAATTCGAGGCTTTAAATAAGTAAGTGTGATACTTTTTCTTTTTTGTTGTCTATATTTTTTAATAAAACATATATGTGCTTTGCGCTTAAATAGAATAAACCGTTTTTTTCTAACTTACTTAAAATTAACTTAACTAACTTGCTTAACGTTTTCGACTTTTTATTACAGTGTTTTTTATATTTATTTTTAAAACATTTTTTGCGTAAATAATAGTCCATGACTCAAAACTGTGACTGGGGTTCTTAAATATATAGTCTATTTTGCAAAATTATTTTTTTTTAAGAATTTTTATATTTCTTTCTAAGCCTTGTAATATTGATATTTTAGGGAAGTACCTATTAAATGTGATCGCTAACTTCCCTACTCTTGACTAATTGTTGACTCTTTGTTTGTACTAATTCTTTCATATGGTTGTGGACACCATCGCATTTAAAATTAGTCATACTATCAATATTGGTAAACTGTGGTTTACACTTGAAACCCCCTATACTCTGGGTATTGAGATTTTAAAAACAAAAAGAACTGACAAAATAAGGGAAAAATAGCAGATAAGAGATTTAAGATACTAATGAAGCAAGGCTTAGCTCAGAAAAACAAATCAAATGGTCAGGGAGACAGTAAATCCCAAGTGAGTATTCGGGCTAGCTTCAATGCTCTGAATATTGGCTTTAGAGATATAAAAACAGATAGCTGGAGTAATGAACTGATAGAAACAATAAATAAAATAAGAACTGTTACAATCAAAACTTAATACAATTAGATAAGGCCACTGGAAATATATCGATATGAAGAAGACGATAAGTAGATAGAAGAAGGGCGCCAACTTAACAATAGTTGAGATTTTTTAGGTAACGAATGACAGTAAATAAATGACTTCTTCTTACGGTGCCTTATCCTTAAGGACGTTGGCCATTACATTTGCCCATTTAATCTTATTTGTAGCAGCCCTGAATATTTCTATGGAGGTCATGTTTGTCCATTGCCGTAGGTTTTTAAGCCAAGAGTTGAGTCTTCTTCCTGGTCCACTTTTACTATTAATTTTGCCTTCGATTATAAGTTGGCGCAGTTCATACTTTTGATTTCTTATGATGTGACCAAAATATTGTGTTTTCCGTCCTCTATTAAAATCATAAGCTCTCTTTCCTTATTCATCCTCCGCAAGACTTCCGCATTTGTCGTATGGCTTATGTAGGATATTCTGAGCATTTTACGGTAAAACCAGAGTTCGAATGCTTAGATTCTTTTTTGTGTTGCTTTTGTCATTGTCCAGGCTTCAACACCATAGAGCAAGGTGGAGAAAACATAGCACTTAAGTATTCTAGTTTTCAATGAGATGCCCAGCTGGCGGTTGCATAGAACTTTTTTCATTTTGTAAAACATTGTACGTGCCTTTTCCAGGCGTCTTCTTATCTCTAGTGAGTGGTCCCAAGTTTCATCAAGATTACTTTCAAGGTACGTTGTTCTTGTTACTCTTTCTAGATCTGTTCCGTCGACATTGACCTTCACCCTTCTGTTTTGGTGCTTGCTGATGACCATCGTTTTTGTCTTTGTATTCAATTTTATTCCAAATTCTCTACAGGCTGTCGTAACTCGATCCATTAAGCGTTACAGGGCTTCAGCATTATCTGCCAGTATGACAGTATCATCAGCATATCGCAGGTTATTTATACATTGCCCGTTTATAATTATACCATCCGAGGTGCCTTTCAAAGCTTTCTGAAATATCTTCTCAGAGTAAACATTGAACAGCAAAGGTGATAGGACACATCCCTGTCTTACTCCCTTCTCGATATTGATTTTTCCAGATGTTTCGCTTTTTATTCTGGTTTTAGCCTTTTGTTCTTGGTAGAGGTTTGAAATAATCCTTAAGTCTTTATCGTCGATATTACATGACCTTAAAATATCTATTAATTTATTATGTTTCACCAGGTCAAACGCCTTCTGAAAGTCTATAAAACACAAGTATACATCAGAATCGACATCTCTACATCTTTCAACTAGCACACGTATTGAAAAAAGTGTTTCTTTTGTTCCGAACCCATTCTTAAAACCAAACTGAGTTTGACCAGTGTGTTCGTCTAGTTTATTGTATACTCTATTGTGTATTACTCGTAGGAAAAGCTTCAACATATGATTCATCAGGCTAATAATCCTATGGTCTTCACATTTCTTGGAGTTTCTCTTCTTTGGAAGTGATATAAACACCGATGTCAGCCAATCATTTGGTATTATGCCTGTTTCGTATATTTTGTTAAATATATCTTCCATTACTTCGATGTGTTTGTCTAGTAATATCTTTATTAATTCAATTAGGACATTATATTCCCCAACAGCTTTTCCGTTCTTTAATTGATTTGCCGCTTTGATAATTTCTTGCTTTGTGATATAAGGTCCAGTCAATGCCTCATGCATGTAAATGTTCGTCCTCTCTCGGCCTTGAAACATCTCTTCCACGTATTCTCTCCATCTACCTATTTAATCTTCTATGTTCAGTAGCGAGTTCCCATGTTTATCTTAGATGAAAGACGTAGGAGTTTGTTTAAATATTTCAGCGGCTTCTTTTACTTTTTTATGTAGATTGAAAGTATCATATTATCTTTGTTCCAACTCTTCAATTTCTTGGCATCATTTACTTAGGCCAGGTTTCTTTGGCTTATTGGATCTTTATTCTGATATTCTTGTGTATTTGCTTGTATGTTGTTTTATATATACCTCTGTATTTTCTTCTTTCGTCCACCATGTTTAGAATTTCTTCTGTCATCCATGGTTTGTTCTTTTTTCGTGTATCTTGTTTGAGGTAGTCTTCTGTTACTCTTTTAAGTGTTTTCTCAATATAGTGCCATTCTTCCTCGCGAGTTTGTGTCGATTGTACTGTTCTGTTACTCAAGTGTCTATGTATTTCTTCCCGTATTTTATTACTAGTGGATTCTTCTTTAAGCTTATCTAGGATAATAGCTATTATTGGCTTATTTCTTTTTGTTCTTTTAAATTCTATCCTAATTGTTGCAAGAAGAAGATTGTGGTCGGTGGGGATGTCAGCTCCGGGGTATGTCTTGTATGCTTTTACTGCGTTTTTGTATCTTTGGTGACCATTATGTAATCGATTTGATTTCTTGTGATGCGTCCTTCTATTCCATCTGCTGGAGATTTCCACGTGTAGAGACGTCTGGGTTATAACTTGAAAAAGCTGTTCATTATACTGTACTGATTTTCTTTACAGAACTGAAGCAGTCTATCTCCCCTCTTATTTCTTATTCCGAGGCCAAACTCCCCCACCGTGTCATCTTCTCTTCCTTTTCCAATCTTGGCGTTAAAGTCTCCTAATATTATGTTGGTTTCATGCTTCTTTGTCTGCAGTAGAGTTTTGTTTAGGTCTTCGTAGAATTGTTCTATTTCTTCTTCTGTGCTTTGACTAGTTGGGTCATATACCTGGATAATATGCATATTAACTGGTTTGCTGTCTATTTTTATTAGCATTATTCTATTTGATGTTGGTAGTAATCCAGAAACTAATTTTGCAATTTCATTAGATGTAATTATTGCTACACCGTTTTTATTTTGAGTGCCTTTATCTCCAGAATAGAATATTGTATAGTTGCCCATCACACAGGTACCTGTATTTGGCCATCTTACCTCACTGCATCCCAGTATATCGATATCAAGTCTTTCTATTTCTTGAATTAAATTTGCGGCCTTTCCCGCTTCATATAGACTTCTCACATTCCATGTGCCTATTCTTTTTGTTTGTCAAATAAATGACACTGGATAAAATCACCTGAAATACAAAAATACTCAATACTAACCTTCTCTTGCTATATTATATACTGATAATAGAGACTGAAATAAAAACCAACCTTACTAATAATAAATATATTTATAATAAATATGTTGTATATACATAAACAATTAACATATAACGCAAAACTGAATAACAGTGGTAGTGGGTGATGTAAAGATATAATAGGACCTAATAGTTACTTAACAAGCAAATAACCACTACCACTGGGCCAATCAAAGGTATTAATATTACAATCCAAGAACACAGTCCGGTAAAATAGCAAAAGGCCCTACAACTAAAACTTAGTAATATTATCCAAATAAACTCGACTAGAATGAGATACAAAAAAAGAACATCACCAACAACACCAAAAAATAAGTATCTCACCTAGCAAAATAATAATTATATAAATGAGTTGGTCAGTACTCTTTATAACCTATTTGAAAAAAAAAACATATTAGACATATTCCCTATTTAAAACGCTCGACATAAATTTTAACAACCCTATTTTCTATCAAATGTTAAGATGCAATTATTTATAAGGATTATTTATCAAGACCTGATTTTAGTTATTTGAAAAAAAAAACCTACTACTGTATTGAACGAAACAAAGACCTGAAACCCCATATATCAAGAAAATATGTAGCTTACTTGATTATATGCATACGAAAAGTGTACAGTTGTAAGCAAATATATATAGTAACAAAAAGTAGATAAGAGGTAAAAAAACTTATCTTTCACAGCACTATTTAAATAAGTTGAAATTCCATAGGAAATTCCTCTTGTGACATGGCTAAACTAGTTGGCTGCTGTGATGATAAATCCAACGGAGAATTTTGTGGCAGTCAAATCAGGTACTGGTCTATCCAGACGAAACAGCAAACTTCATGGGTAACCCCATACGCGAGTTGCTAACAATCTAATTATTCAAGTGACTAAGTTTTTTTCAAGTGACGGAATCTAAATGTTAAAGTTTATTAAATTTAGTTATTATGTATGTCAATAAATGTAGCAATCTAGATTGACTACGCCAAAACAAAAAGATTATACATTATGTTAGGTATATGTCATATCAAAATTTCTGAAGCTACTTTCAATGCTTAATGCTGAAGTAACTTGTGGAACTTTTTATATACCACCCATAAAAAATTAAAGAAAAAAACCTAATGAAAAGACATGGAATAAATCGAAATTAAAGTTTGACCATCGAAAACAACATGACCGTATGTTCTTTGCAAATGAATAAAAACGTTTTTAAATTTAAATTATTTCTTAACACAAAATTAATTCCTAAACAAATACCTAACTACAATGATGAATTGTAGATTACGACGAAGAACTAATACATATATCAATATATTACTTACTTGGAATAAGCAGCACGCTCTGGTAATGTACTTCCTTTATATGGAAAATCCCAACGATATATTTAGTTTTATGATCAAATAAAAGGCAGATATCGAGCACAGTTTAATTAATTTAATCTTGCCCAAGTACTTTCGCTCCCTAGAGCGTCTTCAGGGGCATCTGAAATAAGCGAAGAAAGGTTTTTTTAACTAAAGAAATTAATTAACTTCGATAAAAACTCGAAGTTGATGGTTGATAAAAGTTTTTATGTGATTAACGTTTTAGATTTACTTCGCCTATCCTATACTTTAATTGTGGCCTATCCGACAAAAATAAAATGTTATAAACATAAAATGGTACATCACACTACACTACACAAGGAGAAACACTCTAAAATTTTTAAAATAGGCCAAGCTACATTGTGTACGGAAGCCGGAGACAGAATGTTTCCCGGTCTAACGGAAATGTTGAGGTGACATGTGATATATGACAGCTTGGATGGGCAGTCATAATCATGGATATGTGATCTTTACATTTCAAAATTCTATGAAACTAAGCATTGACTAGCAACTAGCATCTATGTCCAGAGGATCGTCTAAAATACAAACCAGAGAAGGCAACGGGAAACGACTCTGGTATATATTTCCCAAGAAAACTACAATGAAAGCACAAACAGAAATGGCCCCTAGTTTCCGGCAGATTTTAGATGATCAAGGGGTGCGAAGAATCCCAGGGAGGAATAGCCTAAATATTTTAAATACAAACTTTAAGATTGCAACATGGAACGTTAGAAGCCTATTCGAAACAGGAAAACTAGCAAATGCATGCCACAAAATAAAACGTTTAGGGTTGCAGATATTGGGTTTGAGTGAAGTTAGATGGCCAGGTTCAGATAAAGTTAAAACCATGAACAAAACTTTCTATTACTCGGGTAATAATGATCCGGTTCATCGTAACGTAACGGTTCATCGTAACGGGGTTGGAGTAATTTTAGAAGACAAATATAACAATGCCGTCACAAACTTTGTGCCATTTTCGGACCGATGTCTTCTTATTCAACTATCCGGAAAGCCAGTAAATATTAACATCATTCAAACTTATGCCCTTACGGCCGATAAACCCATAGAAGAGCTAGAACCGTGGTATACTGACATAGAAAAACTTATAAAGATGACTAAAAAACGAGACCTAACATTTATCTTAGGTGACTTTAATGCTAAGTTAAGTAGAGGAAAAGTTTCTGGATTAATCGGAGACTTCGGACTTAGAGCAAGGAACGACAGGGGATAGAGAATGACCAAATTCTGCCAACAACACAACATGGTAGCGACAAATACATGGTTTAAATTACACCCTCGCAGATTGTACACTTGGACTTCACCACAACACAATGAAAACAGAGTAATCCGTAACCAAATAGATTACATACTGATCAACAAAAGATATACCAATGCAATCATCAGTGCAAAAACATATCCTGGAACTGACATCAATTCCGATCATAATCCTGTTGTTGCAAAAATTCACGCAAGATGGAAATTAATAAAGAAACAAAAACCTCAACACCAACTATTAGACATCAAATTATAGAAAAACGACACCATACATTAGACAGTAAAAAAATAATTAAACAAAAATTTAGGAAATATCGAGCACAATAGAATTAGTGAGTACGATGACATAAACGTTCTGTGGAAAACTATTAAAGAACAAATGAACAATGGAACGGAAAAACATCTAAAAGTAAGACCTAGAAATAACAAACAGGAATGGATGACAGAAGAGATTTTACAATTAATAAACAAACGAAGAGAATCTAAAGGAAAAAATGACAAGGACGGAGAATACAAAAGACTAAATAGAATAATTCGAAAAAAAACCGAAGCAAAAGAGAAATGGCTGGAAACAAAATGCGTTGAAATAGAAGAACTGCAACAAAGGCACGATTTTTTTAATTTACATAAAAAGGTAAAAGAGTTTACATCGAATACCAAGAGAACGACTTTTCACACCATGCTGAACACGGATGGCAAACTGCTAGAATCAACGGAAGATAAACTGAAAGAATGGGAAAACTATATTAAAATTCTTTTTCACAACATACGAGAAGAACCAAGATTGGAAAATAACAACAAAAGGGCAAATAATTCTGAAATCTGAAGTCATAAATGCAATTAATCATCTCAAAACAAATAAAAGCCCAGGTCCAGACGGAATATACCAAGAAACGTTAAAATTAATCAGCGAAGAAAATATCGAAATATTTGTCTTTTTATTTAATCGCATTTATGATAGAGGTAAAATACCCCAAGATTGGCTGGAGTCAATATTCATCCCACTACCAAAAAAGCCAAACCCACAACACTGCAATGAGTTCCGTCTGATAAGCCTTATGAGTCATGCAGTAAAAGTCCTACTAAAAATCGTACATAATCGTATCTATAGAAAGTGCGAAACAATCATCGGAGACGATCAGTTTGGATTTAGAGCCGGCATGGGAACGAGAGAAGCCCTGTTCAGTTTACTAGTTCTCGCCTAAAAATGCTACGACCAACAGAAATATATATTTATATGCTTTATAGACTTGCATTTGATAGAGTAAGACATGACCTACTATTAGAACGTTTGCAAGAAGTCGGTTTAGATGGAAAAGACATCAAATTCTTAAAAAACTTGTACTGAAACCAAAACGTCAGAGTTAGGATTGAAGGTTTCACATCCGCAGAAGTAGAAATTAGGAGGGGAGTTAGACAAGGATGTGTTCTGTAGCCTCTGCTGTTTAATCTTTACTCCGAGTTTTTATTTAAAGAAGCATTGGAGGATTCCAAGGATGGAGTCAATGTGAATGGCGTAAATATCAACAGTATCAGATACGCCAATGATACAGTGTTAATTGCGGATTCCGACTTAGGTCTATAACGACTCATCGACAAGACCAACTCGACCTGTGAGCAATTTGGTATGAAAATAAACATTAAAAAAACCAGTCATGTCAATCCGAAAAAACCAAAACTTAACTCAACCTTGCACAATAAATGGGCACATTTTAGAACAGGTCAATAGATTTAAGTACCTGGGATGTTGGATCGATAGCGGCCTAAATCCTGATCTAGAAATAAGATCGAGAATAGAACAGGCCAGAAAATCTTTCGAAAAAATAAAAAAACTGCTTTGTGATTCTCGAATAAAACTTGAAATTCGACTACGTTTATCAAAATGCTACGTCTGGTCGACTCTTTTATATGCAGTTGAAACGTGGACTCTTAAAACATCAACCGTAAATAAATTGGAGGCCTTTGAAATGTGGATCTACCGGAGAATACTCAAAATTTCGTGGACATCGCATACCTCAAACGAAGAAGTGCTGTATAGAATAGGCAAGGAAAAAGAACATTTTAACACAGTAAAAGTTAGAAAAACATCATACCTAGGCCACATACTGAGAAATAATAAGTACCAATATGCCCAACTTATGTTGAAAGGAAAAATTGAGGGAAAGAGAGGCCTAGGAAGCAAAAGACTATCGTGGCTCAGAAACATCCGACAATGGACACTGGACAGGGCTAAATTTTGAACAGCTAATAAGAACAGCTGAAGATAGAGAAGAGTTTAAAATTATAGTAGCCAACCTCCATTGAGGAGAGGGCACTTTAAGAAGAAGAAAAAGCATAGACCAAAGGTCCAAGTGACACTACTATAGGAAGTCAACTGATAGAAATAGGAAATTATATAGAATATTTTTAAGTAGATTGCATAATCCAGATCTCATGGCAGACCATTTTATTGTAGTCAACTACCCACTGTCTAATATATTGTTTAGTTTATTTCTTGCATTCATACTTTACGTCGAATTCAGTTGCTCTCAAACTAACGTCCTAATTATTATAGACAGGTTTGAGTGTGAGATCTGAATTATGCAATCTACTTTAAAATATTCTATATAACTTCATATTTGATCAGTTGACTTCCAATAGTAGTGTCAGTTGGACTTAGGTTAATGCTTAATTTCATAGAATTTTGAAATGTGCAGATCTCATATCCATGATTGTGACTGCCCATCCAAGTTCTCATATGTCACATGTCACCTCAACATTTCCGTTAGACCGGGAACCATTCTGTCTCCGGCTTCCGTACACAATGTAGCTTCGCCTATTTTAAAATTTTTAAAGTGTTTCTCCTTGTGTAGTGTAGTGTGATGTACCATTTTATGTTTATAATATTTTATTCTTGTCGGATAGGCCACAATTGATGAAGTAACTCTAAAATGTTAATCACATAAAAACTTTTTTCAACTATCAACTTCGAGTTTTTATCGAAGTTAATTAATTTCTTCTTCTTTCTACTTGGACAAGAATAAATTAAAAAAACTGTGCTCGATATCTGCCTTTTATTTGATTAAAATTTATTTATTCGAGCATTTAACCATATATCAAATTTAGTTTTGATGAATAGCAATTTTAAAAATTTACTTGGCTATTATTCCTTCCTTTTAGTTATCTATATTTCATTATTGTCCCATATTTTTTTGTTCCAACTCCGTCACTTAAAACGTGATAAAAAAATCTTAATCAGCGTATCTGCTTTTACAAGTCTTTGACCAACTGACTCCGAAAATCGATTCCATTCCAATCCAAAGAGATTGTCGGGCGTAAGCAGAAAAATGTCATTTTTAAAATCGATCGCGGGCGCATCACAAGAAATTTCTTGAGGGGTACTATTAATGCAATTTTAATTGAATTAATTTAATTAGTAGCATAACCGCTACACACTTTTTTGTTTGCAAGAATATTACAGTTATTTTAGGAAACCGAAAAATATATTTATTTCAAATTTTAAATTAACTTTTAGACACTATGAAGATTTATCTGAAAAAGCAAATTCAAATAAAGACCCTGAACTATTAAAGCAACTAGAATCACTAGAAGCCGAACTGACAAAAAAAGAAGAAGAAATTAATATGGTCATGACCCTATGTAAAGAAGTCATGGCGCTTAAACAGCAAATCAAAAACCTTAAGCAGCATAATAGTCAATCTACCTTTCCCCAAGAAAGACAGGACAGTGGTACTTCCTCAAATTTCAATGACTTCAAAAATCCTCAGGCAGCTTTTCATTTAACAAAACTTTTAAAACAGATTCAGACTTATCAAAAGAAATACAAACATGGTGTAGGCGTTTAAAAAACTTTGGGTCCAGAAATTATATATTATACAAATACACCATTTCTTGCTTCCTTTTGTTTTATTTAATTATTGTTAAGTTTCTTACATAGTTTTCGATATTTAAATATAGGTTGTTTGAGAAATTTGAAAAAAATAATTTTTAAACGTCATGTATAACTGTAAAAATCATAATAGATCAGCAATCTGAACAATACTATTTTTAATTACTATTAAACTGGGATTAAGCCACAATTAAAGATAAAAACATGTTTATGGATGTTTCAATTTCCACTTCGGAAATCGTTCTCAAAATACAAACAGTAAATGACAATTTATTGTCATTTATAATAATTTACAATGCCACAAGAAAATAGCTTCAGAACAATAATACTATTTTTGTTAGAAATATGTTATGTTATATGCATACTAGCGGGCAGGACTGAAGTCGTTTTACAGCGTGGTGTTTTAAGGCTACTTATCTTGCCAACAATAACTTCATTCACATGGCGAATACTCAAACGAATAGAATTGGCCCCCAGGTGTGTGGAGGATGTAATGTCGAATCGTAGAAAAGGGTCAGCTTCATGAAATCTAAAGAAGGTATTAATTCGCTTAGCGCACAAAGATTGTCTATCTGAACAGATAATATCACAATGGTGAGAACAGAGGATAACCAAGAATAGATGCAAGATGAACTTGAGACCATAAAATGGAACATCTTAAGCTTATGTAAGACAAGCATTAAAGGCAAAGAATCAACTCTACGAACATCAGGGTACACTTTTAGTTAATATAATTTAGGAAATAAACAATGGATATTAGAAGTTAGCCTTATGGTACATAATAGAATTGGAAACTTGGTAACTAAATTATTTTATTATTTATTTTTACGCACAGGCCGTTAAGGCTTACGCATTTTTTTTACAACATCATCCTAATATTAACTAATTACAATTATTTTAAACAAAACTTTAACTTAACCCAGATGTGCCTGACGTACAATAACTTGTACACCATAAACATGCTTTGACTTGTATATATTATGTGCAAATTTTTTCTCTTGCAAACAGCTTAAAAACTTTCATTAAGTCTTAATTAATCCTAAGGTGTAGTTGTGAATTGCTCATTTTGTGATGTCTGACGATAATTTTGTGATAAAATTTATAAGTTTTATAAGATGGCTGAATGTGGGGTGTAATTGGCTAAGTAACTAAATATTTGTTATATGCATACCGAAAAAACATCTTTTTTGTATTTACGAGTAAAAAATACATATATGTTTCGATTTAGATGAAAAAATTGGTTAAATTATTATTTTGTAATTAGAGTTAGGGTATTTGATTTTAGTGTACAAAATATTGTACATCAGGCAAATATCACACTATTTCCTTTAGAAGTTTTTCATTGGAGGATGCGCTTAGTTTCTTAGAGAATGATGAAAATTTAGTAGCAAATGTAGACACCCTTACTTTAGTAGGTACATTCAGTAAATGCATGTGGTCTCCTAATAGAAGAAGACTCTGGCCTCCGTGTATATGTTACGAAATATATATACAGATTATGGAATCGCAACTAGCGTTTTTTTATAATATTCTGTTACGCAAAGAGAACTATGGAAAAGTGAAAACTTTACTCTTATTTTTGAGTACTCTTTTAGCTCTATTATCCTAATGGAAAACTAAACGGACAGATTTTTAGCTACTGGCGCGATTAGAGAAAATAGTTTAAAAGAAGTACAATTGCAATATTCGAAAATTATAAAAAAGAAGACAGAGGGACCTATAATTACAGAAATAATTGCAGTACAATGACGTGGCAATAATTTATTGACTCTTTGTTCAAACTCTGCAGAAATGCAATCAATTTATCTTATAAAGCGATTCCCAAAACAAGAAAATGATCCAGATATGAAACAAAGTAGACAATTTTTCTTTGTAATACTAGTATTATTTATAATTTCAGGTGGACTAACCCCATCCCGTACATGTGAGTAGTGTAAATATAGGTAGAGTAGACCGTAGTGACGAAAATATTAGTCTCTACCAAATTTATATTCGAGGAAAAAATGATACCTTTTATTGATTGGTCAATGCATTGATAAGGCTATTCATAATAACTGCCAACCTGTTATAGTTCGCATGAAGAAAATTAATTCAGTTATCCTTTGTAAGACGCAGTGCGATATCTTTCTTACAATAAACTTGCTTTCTATTGTCGGCATCGTTCATCGGCCAATTAAAAGGTCGATATGACATATAGAGCATTTGGTGATTTCATAGAAAAAACCAACTCGATGTGATTTTTGCCATGATAAAGCAAAACAAGGTGTTCAAAATGCAAAGCAGGATCCCATATCAAATGTTTTGTTTCATATCATATCCAAACTTAATAGTAGGTTATATGCCTGGTTTACCATATTTTGTACAGTATGTTTGTTTACTAATTTTGCATAAATATTTTGTTTTAACGATAAATATGGTTTTGTTAACTTATATAATGCGTAAATTTGGAGAAAAATTTTAAAATTTATTTTGAAGTAAGTTTTAGGCATATCCGGGTTAAATATGTATATATAAGATTCTTAACTACTCTGAAGGACCTAGTGTACAATATTTCTCCATTCGCTTCTATTTTGTGCTTTTATTTTTCAGTCCCTCACTTCACGTGTTTGAGGTCTTCATCCGCTTTACTAATCCACCTCGTTATGGGTATACCTCTTCTTTTGAGGCCGATTAATTTTCTGGTTATTACTAGTTTGGGCATTCTGTTTGCTGACATTCTTTCCACATGTCCCAACCATCTGATTCTTTGTGCCTTGACGAACTTAGTAATGATAGGTTCTTTGTATAAAGCCATTAATTCATTGTTGGTTCTTCTCTCCCAACCATCTTCTGTCTTCCGTCCTCCGAATATGCGTCTCAATATTTTCCTTTCCCATCTTTCCAGAGTATCCTCTTCCTTCTTATTTAATGTCCATGTTTCACCGGCATATGATACTGTGGGTGGAATTACTGTTTTATATATTCTGGGTTTACCTTGTCTAGAAACGTATTTTGAGTTCAGTAGGGCTCTTAAACCACCTAATTTTTTATTCCCTTTTGCTATTCTGGCTTCGAGCTCTCATTTCTCTTTTCCATTTTCATTGAAAACTACACCCAGGTATTAAAATTTGTCCACCCTTTTGAAACTATAGCGTTCGCCACTTACTGACCTCACACTAAAGTCTTCTTTTTTCCCTTCTGTCCCTCCCATGATTATATATTTGGTTTTGTCTCCATTTAGTTCCAATCCGAATTTCTGTGCTTCTTCGATGATTTTCTTCACAACTCTTCTTAATTCTTTCTCGGTTTTTACTAGGATAGTTGGATCATCAGCAAATGCCAAGCACTGGTGCTTATTTTTCATGATCGTTTCTTCCATCTTCATGCTGCATTTTCTGATTACCGTTTCTAATACTAAGTTAAATAATGTAGTGCATAAAGGATCTCCCTGTCTCAAGCCTTTTGCAATCGTAAATTGATCTGATATGTGACCCTGCCAAGCAATTTCACACGTAGAGTTATTAAGCGTCATTTTAACTAGCCGGATCAGTTTCTTTGGTATACCCAAATGTTCCATTACTCGATACATTTTGACTCTATCGACTCTATCATATGCTTGTCTAAAATCCACAAACAAAAATGCAGGGAAACTTTACCTTTATTATCGTTTTAAGTCGTTTGTATCATCTTCAATGAGAAGATTTGGTCTACAGTAGATCTGTCCTTTCTAAAGCCGGCCTGATATTCATGCAGGTAACTAAATTAAAAGCTATAATTAATAGGGTTATCTGTCTAGTACTGCTATGCACCAACTTCTACAGATGATGAAGTAGCAGGAGCAAGAGCAGAAACAGTTTTATGAAGACATCAAACTAGCTAAAAACGTAGAAAATACATATTACATAATAATCCATATCCACGTTAAAATAAGAAAAAACGAAAATAACACCGACAAAAAACATAGTACTGTGATCAAAATTAACTAAAGGGAAATCAAAGATAACTAAACTTACAGACCAATACGAAAATGCGGTAATAGAAAAAACTCAAATTATTAATGAAATGTAAATATTATCTAAGAATCTTTACAATTTCAGAAAAGATCATAGAATTACCCTGAACGTGAGTTACCAAAAAACTCTTTCAGAAAACAGGCATGTTATACAACAAATAAAAAATCAAAATGATTATAAAGGGGATTCTATAACGTCTTGAATGTTAAAAATAAACAGCAAAATTGTTATAGATGCGCTGGAATTCTTGCCGAATAATAGACCTGTGCCCAACAGAAAAACAAATATTGTGAGAAAACGCCCTACTAATACTCATCTCCAAAAGGAGACACCGTTAATGATAAAAACTACAGACGTTTAAGCTGTCACATCCTAATTCGTATTTTTCATTAATACATTTTAAAGAACTATCTAACACAATAACATTAAATAAGAGCAAATACAGTAAATACCTCTAATAAAATTTTAAATAGGCGCCAAGTTATAGAAAATGATTAAAATGATCTCGCTGAAACGGGACACAGGATTCAACTCTTAGCCTCATTATTTGTCGTATTCGTGCAAATATTTGTGGTGTATTTCTTAGTTGCTTATGAAAATGTGGTTTAAGTTAAATTGACTATATCTTTGCAAATAGTTGCTTTGATTTCATTCTAATCAAAAGTTATCATTGCCACAAGACTCAAATTTCAATTCTCACACACATTCAATGTACGGCATCTGAATATCAATAAACATGAATATGGGATGTAACTGACAAGGAAACATTAAGAAATGTCATTTCGGTACCACATTTATGTTTATTGGGATTCGATGCCGTATATGAAATGTGTGGGACTGCACGTTACCAAGTTCATGATTTTGAAAAATATAGTAAAAACTGATATTTTGAAGCCCTATAACTAAGAAACAATTAATTTTTGAGTTTGAAGGCACTGAGAACTTTTGATCAACATGATCAAAGCTACACCTT